TCATAATAGATTTGTAGAGTACGGAGTAGGAAAAATTGACAAGTCAGTTCAAGGTTATAAGAGGTGTCAGGTGAGTGAGTGGCTAGCACAAAGTGGTCTGTATTAAACAGGAGATAGTAAGACTGCAATGAGAGGTTGATAATGAAATAACCAATGTGTGAAGTGAAACAGGTGGGGGAACACATTGAGAAAAGAGATAATATCACTAATATTAAGTCCAGATAGTATAAATGGAAAATTCAATAGTATTGAGAGAATGTTTGCAAGAAGGGTATAAATTATGACGAATAATAATAATAATTGTAAAAATAATAGTTGTAATGATAAGCAAGGCGAAAAAAACAAGAGGGTTAAGGGGAAGAAGCACTCCTGGTGAGAAGAAGAATCATCAACCCAAGTTTGGCCAAGGTAAGAACAGAGTCTGGATGTGTTCTTTTTGGATATAAAGTTCCGGTTTAGTTGATCTTATTGCGACAGCTTCAGTTATCTGTATGAGACGTAAGCGAACTTTACGTGATAACGATTTTGGAATTCGGTATACAACCTTGAAAGCTCTATTGACGTCGATATGATGTCCAGTATCGACCAAGTGTGACAGGATCGAGCTTTTTATGCACTTAATTTCCCCTTGCTAAATCAAATATAAATATTCTCGTAGACGAACCTGCCTAATCGTGTGCCCTATATAACTTGAACCACAGGAACAGTTGAAATGGTATATGCATGAAAAAGAACTAAGGTTAGGTAAGACATTTTTGAGTTGCTCGGTGAACATTGGACGGCTAGTGGAGGATAGACACAGACGTGTAGAGTAGAAAGTTTTCTTTATCGCCTTGGTTAAACGTTGCGTTAGAACCTCCGCAGGAGTATCTCCCTTCAATTATAGACGTAAAATAGTGGTATTTCCTCACCGTTGCCAGTTCATGTTTACGACTATTGTAACCTATGTTGGCTTTAATAAACTACCCTGGATATCCGTTCTCGCTTAGAATGTCTCGGATGACCTGGAATTCTTTCTCTAAACAGTCTTCGGAATAACTGCACCTCGCTCTAAGTGCTAAACACCTGATCAGATTACGTTTGTATTTCATCGGTACGAAGCTAAGGAAGTGTGTATACTGAGGTTTATTTTTTCTTTGGTCATTATTACTATCATTATTATCATTCGCCATAATTTGTACTCTTCATGCAAACATCCTCTCAACACTATCGAATTTTTCATGTGTACTAACCGGACCTATTATTAGTGATATTATCCCTTTTCTCAATATATACCACCACCTTCATTTCACACATTCGTTATTGCATGATGAACTCATTGCAGTCTTACTATCTCCTGTTTAATACAGACCACTTTGTACTAGCCACTCACTCACCTGACACCTCTTATAACCTTGAACTGACTTGTCAATTTTTCCTACTCCGTACTCTACAAATCTATTATGACTAATCACTATCATTGTCTCCCAGTTTACAATATTTTGTAATAGATTTCAGCCCAGAACATATTTGTCACACAAATACGACTATTTATTTTGACACCCCATAACTACTAATGTTATTCTACGTTAAAAAATGCATCCGCCGTATAACTGACTGTCATTATTGTAACGAAAACATTATATTTTATAATTGTAAGAACCTGAAGAGGAGAAGTTATTGGAAAGAATATTTTTCGTTCAGATGGACTCTTAAAACACACAGAAGGAAAGTGAGATGGAATAGGCATACGCTGAGGTAACCGTTGAATGACATCACGCTCAATATAGGTCATAGTTCAAGTAGAATCCAGATGGGGAAACGAGGAGTGGGTCGTTCTAGAGTGACACTGAGGAGATGACAGATTATGGTCACGGATCCAGCTAAAGATAACTGCAGAAAATGGAACAAAGTAAAGCTGTGTTGTTGAAGCCCTATGTTCCACCCAAGAGAACCCAAGGGAACAGTAATATCTATGACCAGTCATATGAAGAAGTGAGACCTGCTTTTGCAGCACATGGCCGTATTTCCTATTGAATTTATATATATATATATATATATATATATATATATATCTGGCGAGGAATCATGCTCCTGTCGACGCCAAGTAAAATCCTGAGTCGCATCATCCTGGAGAGAATCAAGGACGCGCTGGATACAGAACTCCGACCACAACAAGCTGGATTCAGGAAAGGCAAATCATGTTCTGACCAAATTGCAACTCTACGCATCATCATCGAACAAAGCATGGAATGGCAATCAAATCTCTACCTCAACTTCATAGACTTTGAGAAGGCCTTCGACAGCGTTGACCGCGAAGTAATTTGGAAACTACTCGAGTACTACGGCGTACCGCAAATATTCATCAACCTTATTCAACAGCTGTACGACAACGGCACATGTCAAGTGATCCACAACGGAAAACTCAGCGAAGCGTTTGGAGTAAACACAGGAGTCAGACAAGGGTGCTTATTATCAACAATGATATTCCTAATTGTGGTGGACTGGATTATGCATCAGACAGTGGGAAACGAGAAGACAGGGATATCCTGGACCGACGTGAAGAACCTAGAAGACCTGGATTTTGCGGATGATTTATGTTTGATGTCACACAAAATAGAAGACTTACAAGCGAAAACCGACAAACTGGTCGAAGAAGCAGGCAGTGAAGACAGGACTCCAGGTGAACATAGACAAGACGGAGGTTATGAAAATAACCAACCAACAACAACAACAACAGCAGCAACATCCAGTGCCAATCACCATCAACGGGAGGGATTTGAAAGAAGTTACTTCTTTCACTTATCTGGGGAGCATTGTCTCAACCACAGGAGGAACGGACGAGGATGTCAAATCGAGAATCGGGAAGGCGAGAAACACATTCATCAACCTGAAACCAATCTGGAAATCTTCGTCACTCACCATCAACAACAAAATTCGGATTTTCAATACAAACGTCAAGTCAATTTTGCTTTACGGATCAGAAACTTGGCGGGTCACCAAGAATATTTTCAACAGGTTGCAGACCTTTATCAACAACTGTCTTCGCTCCATACTTAAGATTAGATGGCCAGAAAGAATCACAAACAAGAAGCTATGGGAACAAACGAAACAGGAACCAATCGCCCAACAAATATGCAGGAGAAAGTGGAGATGGATTGGACACTCGCTGAGGAGGCCGTTGAGTGACATCGCGCGTCAAGCCCTCGAGTGGAACCCGAAAGGGAAGCGACGAGTGGGACGTCCAAGGGTGACATGGAGGAAATCGTGTGAGGAGGAGATGAAACAGTATGGAATAACATGGACGCAAGTGAAAAGAACAGCAGAAGACAGAAGCAAGTGGAGACGTGCAGTTGAAGCCCTATGTTCCACTAGGAACCCAAGGGAACAATAATAATAATAATTATATATATATATATATATAACTGTCACTTTTAACCCACGAGAATATAAATGGTTGGTTCACCGTTACCCAAGTGTTTGCTGTGTGAATAATGGATTTTTTTTATCCTTCAGGTTCCCCAGTGGAACATAGGGCTTCAAGCTAGTGGCTTGAAGTTTCTGTACCAGTGTTTATTTTCCAGGATGGGGTTGCTAGCCTCATGCCCAACCTTTCCTCTTCACCAGCATTATTTCTGGCTTAGCGAGGTAAAGGAGTGCATCGGCCGGGGATCGAACCCCGGACCATGTGCATGGTCGGTGAATAATGGATTAGACAGAGTTAACAAAACACGCCTATACGGTGGAAGCCTGACAAGATAACTGGTCTTTTGGAGTAGATTAAAGGAAAGAGTCAGAAATACAAATCGATCTCAAAACATCACAATCTCAAGTCATCTTTTTTAACTGTTTTATGACTTTAATTGCCCCTCAATTCTGATTAGTTGCTTGAAGTCAGTGGTACGATCGATCGGGCTAGCTACTACAGTTTAACTTCGCTCTCTTAATAGAGTGCTATAATATACCTTTTGATGGTAATCCAATAATAATAAGTCGACAATGTACAAAAAGTGTTAGATAATGATAAGTGTTAGTAAATAAATTATGAAGAAAATACACGACAATTTAAGTAAGAAAGTTTTCCTTATCGACGAAATCATCTTCAGAGGCTGTACAGTCGTATTTATATTTACCAAAAATGCATAGTAGTTCATTATTGAGTAATAAAAGGGGGGATGGGTACAGTCTCTGAAGATGATTTCGTCGATAAAGAGAACTTTCTTCGCTAAATTCTCAGTTACAAGTCAATTGAAATAGTGTCACTGTAGATTACAAATAGGAAAAGATAAAAGAGCCAGTTATTTTGTAAATAACACAATAAGTTGTAGGTTCCAAGCTTAACACTATCTCTATCAAACAGAATGTGGGTCACAAATAGTATCACTAAGATTCTGTACTTGGTTGTGCGAGCATATAATTTTCTTTTATTATAACTTGATTCCACACAGTATTTTTGGTACATGTATGGAATTTTCAGCGTGTGATATTGGCAGCGCAAATTTTGCAGGCCGATCAGGTGTGCGTCGCCAGGGGGATCGAACCCCAGACTATGTTGTGCATGGTCGGCGACAGTCCTAACCGCTGTGCCACCGACACTGACTTCTAGTCCTAGCTGATTAGATGTGAGGAGGGGGAAATTGAGAATAAAGAGGGTGCTAAGAGTCAGACAATATGGATTTAGTTCATTTCTCACATTAGTTCAGGTGTCTGAGTCGACCACAGTAGTAACGAGCCGGCCCACTCAGTGGTACACCACTTGCCCTGCTGACAACTTTTAATACCCTGCAGTCATTTTGCACAATTCTTGACCTTCTTAGCTAAAGAATATCTTTCTTTGTAACCGGTAGATTAAAAACATTACCATGTAATGACAACTTATGATGGCATTACTTATTAAGCCATATACATAATATTCATTCTGATGATAATAAAGTTAATAATAATTAAAACCACTGGTCACTATTTTTTCGAAAACAATTTTCAAGAAAATTGACAGAAAAACAGTAACACAACCATCATACCTCCGGCTGGTTGATAATCCAAAAAACTTTTGCCCACCAAAAATTTCAGCTAAGCCAAATGTCTTCACATGATTCAGTCTCCGTATCAGTGTTTTGATTGGTCTAGTAAAAATAATCGATTGTTTAACCTACAGATTGACCAATCAAATGCTTATGAAAACGGACACATATATAGGCAATTGTGATATCCAGACACACAGGCCAACAATGAAAATACAAAATGAAAATAATAGTACCAACTAATGACGAATGCCGAATTGTTATTGCCTCCATTACCTTCAGGTTGTAGGAAATTGGAACCGTAGATACTGTCGTATATTATTCTCTCTCCCCCCCTCTCTCTCTCTCAGTTATGTTGGTCAATATATGCTCATAACAGGAATAAACGAGACAAGAAAATAAGGATTAGCAGCATATGTGTTCAAACCAAGTTCACTTTTAACAGTTTAGAAAATTTGGGTATTGAGTATATGATATTTATTGTAATAAGGGATTTCTTGTATTTCCCAATGAATGAAAAAAAAAAACAATATTCCTGCTTTTACTGACGTTTCGCTATTTAGTGCTGATAGATAAATCAAAGTATTTTTAAACCAGAATTTACAAAATCTCAGCTTATTTATAACAACTTAGTCATCGTTCCCCAGCATGACGTCAGTTTTACGTTGTTATTAAGTCGGCCAAATGGTAAAAATAACAAAACCAGGTGTAGATTCTTGGATTTGATAAGTGTGTAAAATTATAAAAACAGCATGTGTTTACATTAATGAAATTGCTTATCACATTCTTGTTGATTTTGTCATTTCATGGTGGAAGGGGGGGGGTTGTAGTAACCAGGTCAAATTCTGTTTTAATCCATCATTCCTATTCAAGCAATTTGGATTCCACTTGATGATATGAAGTGTTTCTGATGATATGAGACGTTCTTTGTGATTTCTGAAATTTTCCTGGATGATGACTTCAATATTGTCGAAATTAATTTTGTGGTCTGAGTCCTGGGTCACAAACTGGTTGGATTCCTGTTTCTTAAACAGAATGCAGTACACTGTATACAAAGGTAAATCCTCCTCTGCTGTGTTCACTGAAACTGGTGTCCCCCAAGCTGCTGTACTCTCCCCACTTCTCTTTTCTTTCTTTCTACACGACTTACCATCTTCAAATGACATTAATTTTGTTATATATGCTGAGGATCTGACTGTATCTTTGCCTATCAAATGTCAAAGTGACTTTGCCAAAATTAATAGCTTTTTATCAGAAATCAGCCAGTGGTCCAAGGAAAACGGTCTTACCTAAAACCCCTCCAAATGCCAAACAGTCAATTTCACCTTTAGGCATAAATCTGACCTAAACAAACTGGTTAGCACTCATGAGGTGTGTAACATAGATGGCACTGAAATAGAAACCAAGTCGGAAATTAAATACCTAGGCGTCATTCTATCTGCTGATCTCTCCTGGTCGTCTCATATCTTGATGATTTCTAAGAAAATATTCCGTCTTACCTTCTACATCAAGAAGTTAAAACATTATGGAAAAGCCCAACCCTTACTCCTACAATTCGTTAATTCTCGCATTCTGCCTATTATTCTCTATTGTTCCCCCTTAGTTTTTCCCGGGCTACTGAAGAAAGACTATAACATATTACGCAGGATGTTAAATGTTGTGAGCAGGGTAAGCAACGTGCCACTTAACCAGCTTGTTAATATTCTGGTTGACAGGCATTTGGACTCATGTGAAAAATGGGCTAAATCCATTTTATCTAACTCACACCATCCTCTTCATTCACAACTCTCATCTTGTATCTCATTAGGCAGGACCAGAAGCTTACATAGAAAACTATATGCTTGCACTAGTAAGTACAAAAACTCAACCATGCCCTACTTGGCTCGTGTTCTGTGTGATAAAGAAAGCATTAGGCGTGAAACTTATATCTTATTAAATCGTCAGTAGAACAATTGGATCTCGTCTTTCCAACTCATGTCATTTATAGGTACAACGTTTTCTTTCTTTCTTTTCCTTTTATCTTTCTTGTTATATGCTGTTTTGTATCTCTCTTCCATACAAACTCTACTTAAAACATTCTTCTTCGTTCTTTCACACTCTGTATATCTCGAGATTTTTGTAACCGCTTACGCCAGTAAATATGCTAGTCAAGTGTTGGTTTGTAGGGATTTGATTGGTTGCAGGATTTTCATCATGAGCTGACATTAGTTAGAGAACCATTGGAAAACCTGGGAGTACTGGACAGCTGTTTCGTCCTAGTTTGGGACTCTTCATCAGTACGCACCCACAGGGATTCAAACATTCTGTTCAATTTTGGCTTTACTACCGATATGCTAGTATGTTGTTGTTAAAATTAACTGAGACCCTCCATAATCTATGTAGAATTCTATTTATTGTTAATGTACAAACTGGATGCAATACTTTAGTGAAATGCTGAAAATTCCATTCTGTATCACAAGTACTGTTTTGGAATAAAGCAAATTATTATTATTCTATAGCGTGTAGACCTATGGCTGATGATTTTTCAAGCTTTTCTAGTTCAACTAGATTTCTCGGTGGTAGAACAGATGCAGCTCTACGGTGTTCATTTCTTCTGATTACCTTGATTTCTCTCTAGCCATGTTTGTCCAACGTATATCGCATCACATTCCAAGCATTTTACTTTATAGATACAATTAGGTAAAGAATCTTTAGGGGTTTGGTCTTTTATATGGACAAGGTTGTTTCACAGTGTGCGTGTCTGATGTTTTGAAGAAAATTCTGATGTCGAGCTTATTGAGTACTGTTCTGATATCGTCTGACGTCTCTGCTCTAAATGGAATGACAACTGTTTAGGTACATGTTTTCGGAATACGTTTTCGACCATACTTAATGACAGTGTTGATTTTGTTGATGAAGTTCTTTGGGTAGTTATTTTTGCTTGAGAGTCTCAGTAATGTCTGATATTTCTTCTTTGTCTTTCTCATCCGTTAACATCAAAGAGTATGATCTTCTAAGAAGACTCGAAACAGCTGATATCTTTGCACTGATGTGGTGTTATGATCCGAAGTCGAATTATTTATTGGAGTGGGTTTTCTCCCTGAATATAGATATACTAAAATGTCCGTTTTCCCTCCTCTTAACTAGACGGGCAGTCGAGAAATAGTAGTTCACCGACGTCTGATCCTGCTTCTGAAGTAGACTGGATTCTGGGAGATAGATTTTCAGTTTCTCCAAGAACGAACTGTGCAGATGCAGTTTTAGCACAACAAAAGTATCATCTACATATCTTAACCATATTTTAGGCGTGACTACGCTTGAAAATATGTTATCTTTGAATCTATTCATGAAAAGACCAGTGACTATTGTGGAAACTGGTGAACCCATAGCAGGATTCGTAGAGTAGAAATTACCCCATGGGTTTTCATTCAAAGGGTTTGTACGAGTGAAACAAGACATCATTATAGGTGAACAACATTCTTTACACGTAGATCTTCAGGCTTTAATCTAATGTACACAGCTTAATATAAAAATGTACTGAATCTTTTAAATATGTAAGTAATAACACCGATTATATTTGTAGTAATAATAATGATGTGCGTCGGTGGCACAGCGGTTAAGACGCTCGCCGACCGTGCACATGGTCCGGGGTTCGATCGCCTGCCACAGACGAACCGCTTTACCTCACTGAGCCAGTAATAAAGCTGGTAAAGAGGAAAGGTTGGGCATGAGGCAGGCTAGCAACCCCATCCGGTAAAAATAAACACTGCTACAGAAACTTCAAGCCTCTAACTTGTAGCCCTATGCTCCACTGGGAGCGTGAAGGAATAATAATCATGATAATGAAGTCTGACTGATGACCGACTGTTTTCAACATGAAACTTTGCACAGATGTGCAGCAGTTCAATTCACCACACTCCATCCATGTAGCGCACAAAGCAAGAGAAGTAAGTACAGATAAAAAGAATAGTAATAACGAAGAACAATATAGTTTTACTGGATATTATAAGTCACAAGGACTGAATGCATCTCCGCCAGCCAGTGAGAACGATTTTGAGCCCTGTCACATATTGTCTGCAGCCTCCATTGGTGTTTACCGTCCCGACTCCAACCAGGAAGTCTACACCTTCCAACGTAACTGGCTGGCTTAAACTAACTGTTGTAGATTTCATTGACTGATGAAGCCATGTTTTGGTTTGACCGCAGCTAGCTCTTCTCCAGCCTGACCCTATGTTAGCTAGGCATGCATGTGTAACACATGTCCTAACCACCTCAGTCGATGTAACTTCACAGCCTCATCTATTGATTTCTACTCCTTCCTCACCTAGCACTCGACCGGCGCGTAACCTCAATATTGCTCACCCTATTATACCACTTCACACGGGAGATAGAGCGCAGACACCTATGACCAAAGACAGCTAGCCGGCCAGGTTTCTCAAGTCGTCCACTTTCCATGACCATGTCTCGCTCACAGCCATAAAGGAGGATATAGAGAACTGCTGCTGAGCAGAACACACGCCCTTTGATCGACAGCCGGATATCACGATAACGAAGTCAAAAATAACCAAGTAGATGGCGATAAAAATAATGACTGTGTAAACAATACAATAATGAAATTAGGTCAAAAAACAAAATTGCATAATAATACTAAAGATGAAGGTAATCGGCGTTTACATAAATATCATAAAAGTACAAAAGAAATGGAAGATAAGAAAGAGTGGGAAGTTTTGAATCAGAATTTGCTTAGGCCAAGGGAGAGACAAAGGTAGAACAAACTTCTTACTTAATTCTTCAACCTTCACTTAAAGCCTTTAACGATCCCAAACAATTCGCCTACAAACATTGTAGAAATACTTTAAATACAGCTGCAGTCTTGCATCATAACACTGTCTCCAGTTTATACAAGGGGGCTAAATTTGTTCTCTGCACCTCCCTAGAGTGCACATCTGCTTTCAACTCGGTACCTAGGGATATTTTGTTAAACAAGCTCGCTGCAAGTCAAACAGAATGTTGGGCTGTTAACTGGTTACATTCCTATTTCTCAGGAAGAAAGCAGTACACTGTATGTCAGGGGATGTCGTCCACTTCGTTGCTTACTGAAGCTGGTGTCCCTCAAGGTACTGTCCTTTCTCCTTTTCTCTTTTCTTTCTTCTTGCATGACTTGCCTCACTCTGATGATGAAATGAACTTTGTTAAGTATGCCGACGATCTAACTAATTCAATGTCTGTTAACTCCCGGCTAGACTGTACTAAGATGAAAAGCTTCCTATCAGGAGTTAGCAAATGGTCTTCGTCTAACGGCCTTAAACTTAATCCTTCCAAATGTCAGACTGTTAATTTCAGTTTCCAATGCAAAAGAAAGTTAAATGAAGCCGTTGGTTCCTATGACCCTTGCAAAATTGATGATACTGATATAGAAACCATGTCTGAAGTTAAATATCTTGGATTAATTCTCTCTTCTAACCTATCCTGGTCCTCTCATGTCTTAGCGATTTCTAAAAGAATATTTCGTTTGACTTTTTACATTTAGAAGTTAAGGCACTCAGGCATAACTCAACCCCTCCTCTCACAGTTTGTCAACTCGTGGATCTTTCCATTCTACTTAACTGTTCACCATTATTCTTTCCTGGATTGCTTAAAAAGGACTGTCATACTTCGTAGAACTCTGAGGACTGTCGGTCAGTAGGGTGAGTGGTATCCCATCGGGACCACATCGTTGACATTGTCATTGATAGGCACCTGATGTCATGCAACAAATTTGCTAAAGGAATTTTGCCAGACTGTGACCGCCCACTTTACCCGCAGCTTCAACCTTGTGTCTCCTCAGGTAAAACAAGAAGTCTTTTCAGAAGACCTTTATGCACGTACGTCTAAGTATAAAAATTCCACTATACCATATTTGGCACGTACTTTATGTGGTGAAAATAGTGTCAGGGACAAACTGACTAACCTATTTTGCACTAGAAAATAAACCATTTTCTCCATCCTTATTCCATTAAGCTTTTTTGTTATCGTTCTTCTAATATTTATAATCCTCTCAATTTTTTGTTTTATTTGTTTATTTTTACATAAATGTGAACATCATTTAAGCTGTGTCATAACTGTTATTTTTGTCTTTCCCCTCACCAGACTATATCAAAAGAACATTAGATTCGTTACTCTGTAACATGCTAAAATTTTCAAACTGAATCGACAATACCGTTTGAAACATACTCACTGTTATTATTATTATTATTATATTTATTATTCTCATTTCGTACTGAGAATATTTTTGACTTTATACAGTAAATGTGGACAAATTCCTCTGGTTAATTCTCAAAAATTTTATTTATATTTTGAGTAAATCAGATGTAATATTGTGACAAATGCTGAGAATTCCATTCTGTATTATAAGTACTGTTTTTGGAACAAAGTAGATTATTATTATTATTATTACGATACAAAGTCTAGGATTGTGGAGTTGAATTCCCCAAAGATTTGGTTTTGTGTACGAGACCACTTCGAATTCCATTTCATAAATAATCTTGAAAGCGCTTCTTCCATTTTTTTTATTACAGCTTGATGCCACACAGTATTTTCAGTACAAGTATGGGATTTTCAGCATGGATATCGGTAGCCCAAATTTTGCAGGCCGACCATATATATCGGGTGTGCGTCGGCAAGGGATCGAACCCCAGACCATTTGCATGGTCGGCGAGAGTCCTAACCACTGTGCCACCGACACACAGCTTTTGGTGATCGCTGTCTAAAAAACAAGAGAAAACAGAACCTCTTATAGATTTTACTTGACCTTTCCAGAACTATGAAGGAAGGTTGTCCAGTAATCCGCTTGCTGAAGTGTCTAGTTGTTTAACCACAGGAGCAGCGAAACTTGTAAATGTACACAGAAGTGGTAGCTTATCTTTCACTTGAGCAATCATAATTGATCCGTTAGAAAATGATAAACAAAGGTTGAGAGTAGCACAAATGAGGTTTGTTGCTGTTGATAATCTTAGATCTACGACTTCACTAGCCACGTCCCCATTGAATTGCAGTTTCAGGAAAAGTTGTTTCTCTTTAACTGTTGTCAGTTTCTCTTTATATTGTACCTGGTGTTCATGTGTCTCCTTACAAATCTACTAGGATACCCCATTTAGACCAGTACATTTTGGATGTATCCTAATTCATTTTCTAAGAAACCATCGAAACAGATACTTCTTCATCTATTCCTTATGTATTTGACAGAAGTGATTTTGTATTGGATGGGTACAAAACTGAAAAAGTGTGTTTATTGTCCTATAGACTCAGTTATTCTACAAACATCTCTCTTTAGTAAACCATTTTCTCGTCCGGTCAACTGAATATCAGGAAAGTGTAATTTATCATGGTGTTCTCCTTCAGAAGTGAACATGACTGATGGATGTGTATCACTAAATTTTATTAACATTTCATTCTTGCCAGCTACTTCACCAACAGTAATAAACGCACCAGCAATATAACCCTAATAAAAAACTTTTATATCTATTACTTGCATTAGTGGACCATTTTCAAGCTTAGTAGGGAAACAATCAGCCGAAACTGAACCTAATGGAGAACCCATGGCAACACAGTAGATCTGCCTGTAGTACATGTTGTTCAGTGTGAAGTGTACACTTATAGTGAATCTTAGATGCCGCTCCTTGAAACTAATTAACTGAAGATCTCAACATCCTGATCTTCAACTCTAATGTAAAGTCAGTGCTACTAAACGGATCAGAGAATTGGAGCCGCACCGCGTCACGAAGGCCACTTCGAACAAACTACACACCTTCATCAATAGCTGTCTTCGCTCAATACCACTCAAGATCAGATAGCCGGTCAGAAAAGGTTAGCAATATTGAGGGATATCTGGGAGCGAACCAACCCAGCAGGAACCAATTGTGCAACAAATATGCAGCAAGAAATGGAGGTGAATTAACCATACTCTGAGAAAACAAACCATCAATTGACATCACACGGCAGACCATCGCTCGAGTGGAACCCGAATGGGAAGCGATGGGTCAGTTGGTCGTCAGTACGAGGTGGTGTGGAGGAGGTGCTGTGAAGAGGAGATGGAAGCATGTGGGGAGAGGTGGAGCCAGGTGAAAGGATTGGTTGAGAAGGGAGCGCAGTGGAGACGTGCGTCTGATGCCCTTTGTTCCTCTAGTAATTGAAGGAAACAATAATACATATTAATAATAATACGAATTTCACAGTTTCCATAAGTATTACGTGAGTGAATAGGGATATGACATCTTAAGATCACATTTACATGGTGTTATCATGAATTTCACTTCTATATGTCCATAATTTTTCCAGTGTTTTATTGAACAAGTTCCAGTTAGAGGTGCTATCATTGGGTCTTAAATTTTGTTACCATGGAAATAAGATCAACCAAATTGACACCAATATCCAGTATGA